CAGGTCCTGTCAGCGCCAGGAACACGCAGGTCCTGTCAGCGCCGCCATCCTGCCAGGCAGCCCCAGAGCCCCGGCCACGGCTCCAGCCCAGGGTCACTGTCCCCGTCCCACACAGTGGAGCAGGGGGGTTTGGTCTCGGTACCCTCTGGTCACTCTTCCTACACCAAGCTGCCCATCACTCGGGGGATCCTGCACAAGCATTGCTATTTCTTGCTATTTCTTGCTATTTCCTGCTATTTCTTGCTATTTCTTGCTATTTCTTCTCCTTTTAAACAGACCATCAAGGCAGTCGGGAGTGACCTCAAAGCAGGGGCAGCCCCCAGGCTGCACCGCGACCTCCTCAAGGCAGCGAAGGGGCTCCAGGAGCAGCAGAGCACTGAGCCTGAGAAACCTCCTCCTTCCCTAGAGGCCCAGGCCTTAGACCAGAGACTGCTGGACACAGCTCTAATTAACACCAGTATGAAATGAGCCTCAACTGGCCTCCAGGAAAGGCAGCTACTTAGTCTTTTCATTGACTTAGTCTCCCAGTAATTCCTGTTGGCAGAAGGGGACATGCCAGCTTGTTTTCTCATATGGAAAACATGTATCTGCCTGAATTATTTATCTGAAGAACATTTGTTCATTAAGACACAGAGGCAGCAGGCATTTTAATAAAAATGATTACCCAGCTTTCAAAGCACCTTATGAAGGAGAAGGATTCAGTGCAAGATGCAGGTCCTTGGTGTGCAGAGGAAGGTGCTACTGGTGGTCACTGGTCATTCCCCGTGCCGGGTGTGGGCTTACCTCAATCAGAAAGTCTCCTGTGCGGAGCCCTGCTCTCCAGGCAACACCTTCCACGTCCACTGACTCCAGATACTGCAGGGCAGGGAAGGCTGGCGTTGGGGTGAACTCCTCAATCGGTGTTTCAGCTGTAAAAGACAGAGAAAGGCTGAGCCGGGCTGCCTAAAACCAAGCAGAGGATGAGCAAGAGTGTCCAGACACCTAGAAAAAAAATGGATTAGGAAGAACATGCATGCAAGGCTCAGCTTGACTTCAGTGCAGGAACCACAGCCAGTACCGCATGGGACTCCACCAGCTTAGCCCCCGAGATGGCTCCAGAACCATGCTTACCCACCAAAGATAAGCACTACCACAGAGGAGAGCCTTCCAAAAGTCATCTATGTCCCCGTAAGTTCCCTAAAGCCTCATTCATCTTCCCGCATCGCAAACAAAATCAGAATGACATCTGTGTGTAACGTGAGGAGTGCGGGAGCGCATCTCTTCTGACCTGAGCCTCCAGAAGGGTTGTCTGTACCGGGGACAGGGGCTCTAGGCCGCCCGCAAGCTCAGCGGAGAGGAGCAGCTGCAAAGCACAGAAACGAGGAGCAGTCGGGCTCGGCAGGGCCCTTGGAGAGCGTCCGCTCCAGCCCCCGCTCGAGCTGGGGCACCCCGAGCACGCCGCTCGGTACCGTGGCCACGTGCTTCCGAGCGTCCCCAAGGATGGAGCCTCCACAGCCTCCCTGGGCAACCTGCGCCCCTGCTTGGCCATCCTCCCCGTGAAGAACGATTTTCCCACGTTTCACCGGAATTCCCGCTGTTCCGCTGCCTCTTGTCCACTTGGGCTGCTTGGGAAACCCGGTTCCGGTACCCAGAGCGCCGCCTCTCCCACCCCTGGCCCTGCACGATGAGCTCGGGCACGGCAGCCTCTTGCTGAGGGATGTCTACAGGTGAATCCAGGTGAATCCTGTTCGCCTTCCCTTAGGCTCTAAGGGCATTCCATGGGGAATCCAAGCCCCGTTCCGCAGAGCTGCTTCCCAGCAGGTCAGCCCTGCCCGGTCACTCCTGCCTCGGTGCAGGGCCCCGTGCTGAACTCCACGAGTTTCCTCTCTGCCCGTTTCTCCTCCTGTGAAGGTGCCTCCATCGTGCAGAACCTGCGAGGCCACGCTGTCCCCTCCCTGGATCAGCGAGGACCCAGCTGAGCGGCCCTGGACCCTGCACAGCCCTGGGCTGCATCTCTGCCCTGCTTGGCACCGCGCCGCCCTCCCCACGGGCTCCCGCAACGGGAGCCTCGAGAGCATCTTCCATCAGCACCTCCGAGCGCCGGGAGTCTGTACCCTGATAATGGGACATGTGGCCTCTGTGGAACGTCAGCAAGGCACTTCACGAGACGGGAGCATCGACACGACATCCTCACACACAACACCTCCTTCCTGCAGAACACACGTGGCAATTAAGTCATGGGAAGGGTAAGTGCCGAGTCCTTCTCCCTGGCAAGGACGGAATTGGACAGGTGACAATTTAATTGGTTTCCTGGGAAAGCAGCCTGATGTGAGAAACGGTGTGTCAGGAAAGCTCGAGGGGTGCCAGCCTGAGAGGGATCATTGCCTTGCAGCGGCATTCCCAGCAATGTCCAGCACGACTCCCACGTGCCAATGCTCCTCGGATTCAGTCGTCTTCAGCCCCCAAACCCGAGCACATGAAACCCCAGGACAGGAACCAGCCTCCAGGGCACTGAGCTCTGGGGCCGGACAGCTCCTAAGCTGCAGCCTAGAGAAAGTCCCTCGAGGGGCAGCTCAAGTCTGTGCTTTTCCCACTGGTGATCCCATTCCAACTCATAGGGAATACAGGTAAAATCCTTCTAGCTAAACCAGTCCTACAACCAGGTTTAGCCCCTGTGTCGCTTAGGTGTTATGTAAGGACTCAATGCACACTGTTTTCTGGGGGCTGCAAGCCATATCTGCAGTGACTGCATGTCAGGATACATGATTTATAAAGCTTCACCGGAGCCTTAAAGATTCACCAAGCAAGAAAATGCAGCCTGAAGTCAGGAACGGGTCTTGTCAAAGTAAATGCTGGAGATTGTAATGCACTAAAGGAGGGGGAAAAGGACAGAAAAAGGAAGCAAGCAGCGCTCCACGTCAGTGCTCGTGGTCCGAGCACTCAGCTGCAGGAATAACAGAATTACAGGAACAAGAAGGAAGCTTTAACGAGTGCGAGGAAAACAAGAACTAACGCATCCCGTGCCGTGGAGAATGAGGAGGTCTGCAGGAGAAACCAGTCCTGGTGCCTCCGGCAGCAACATCAGGCGCTGGACGGAGGCATCGGGAGCAGGCACAAACCAGCACTCCATTTCCAGCTGCCTCGATCAACCCAACACTAAAGCAACGAAGGAAAAACCACCAAAGGAAAAACCAACTATGGTTGGCGCCAATGCAATCCCTGCACGGGCCAGGGCGGTTCTGCGTCAGAACCAGGCAACAGAGCAGCAATTCATCTGTAAGCACGTGCACACAGAGAAAATAAGAGTTTCAGGAGGTTCTTTTAGCCAGTTGACAAAAGCAAGACTAAATCATACAGGTCTGGAATTAAAATTATAAAATTTATACTGATAATAAGGTAAAATTCTCTAATGAGGAGGACCACCCTTTATTGCATAAGCTCACAAGGCTTTTAATCACAGAAAGGATAATTCCTCCCACCAAGGACGCTACCACGTTAGCACCAGAGCTTTTGCTGGGCTCGGCGATCCCTGTGGCCATCTTCTTGTCCTGTCTCTTCCTATGGACGTGGTCCCCCTCATTGCAGAGACTTCAGTCACCCAGCAGACCCGGAGAGCCGCAGGCGCCAAGAGAAGCCAGGGGAGGCCCTGGCCCCGCTCCAGCCCCACAGGAGACCCCCGGTCCGGAACGAGCCCCTTCCCAAGGCTCTGTGGGAAGGGGAAGGAGCTTCCACGAGCGGCCCCGCTCGGAGCTGCCGCCAGCTCCGCAGGCTGCTGCTCCCTGGTGCAGCTACGACACGGAGCACCTCGGGAGGCTCCTGCACCGGGAACACCACGACTGGAAGCTGCTCCAGGCCTGGAGCCGTCCACTGCTCCCTGGTGCAGCTACGGCACGGAGCAG